GACTAGCCAGAAGGCGTTGAGCTTTTTTATTTGTCTTTGGAAAAATATCGAAAAGGTACCACTTAAATACTTCTGCACATGCAACAAACATTACTGTAGGATCTACATAGATTGCTGCTGAATTGCATTTCGCTGCATGTGTGATAATATAGTAATGTGCTGGCATGGAGAACATTAGCAGAAGCTGTCCCATTCATGCACAGACATGATTGACTCAAATATATTTATATTTAATTCGTCACACAGAAAGGTTAAAAAAGATACTGTCAGGTTAAAATGGAGTGTTTTGCAATTGATGCTTAAATAGCTCTAAATGGGCTAACTAAACAAATCTTCCCCCCCTTCATAGTTTGCTTTGCACAGTCATTTTCAGTGTTTTATTTGTATAGTTGATTAGATATCAAATTGATGTCCTTTCCACATTTTTAATGAGATAACTTTCTCTGCCTTTTGTTTTTAATAACATTTTATCTTTCTAAAATAGAAAGATTTGTTCGAATCGATTTGTTCGAATCAAATTTACTTTCACCACTTATTTTAATTGTTAAATCATTCTATACATAATGCTTGGTTTTAGGTGTTTGAAATTAAACGGAACTTATTCCCGTTCTTTAAAGCAATTTAAAAACCTATGGAACGTTTGGTTTACATAGAAAAATTGTGTTTTCCATAGACTTCATACACTTTTTTCATTTTTAAAAAGACCAGGTAGTAGGCTTCTGTACTAGGTTTCCTTTCAGTGGACTGTTAAGAAAGTCAACACAGAAAGTACTGGGGGTACACAATATACGGGATCGAGTCCAAAGTATTGTTTTAGTTTGAAACCCCTGTTTTGCCAAGTAGATTTATTGTTTAGATTTCATAACTAACATAATCTACCTCAGAAAACACTAAGATAATATCAAATATTGCCATAAACAAACACACACAACCCCTGTAGTCTAGTGCATATTCTTATTTCAACTTTTGTAGTTGACTGGCTACTATTTTATCTACTTGAACTAAAATCTAAAATAAGTACAGAGATATTACGATAAGGTGTGGAAATACTGAAAGTACTGCTATGGAGTTCAGTGGGTCCATGCTTCATCCAGCATAGTTTGTGGAGCCTTTAAACAGTAAACCCAAGAGAGAGAAATATTACAGGTCTCTGATGCTCTGGGATTGTACTGATGCATCTGTTTCTGTGCCAGTATAGCTAACAAAAATGTGTGAAGAGTAGCCTTTCATATGTGTACTCCCATTTAACTAGCTGGGATTATTCATATGCCTGTGTTTCACTTCTGTGATTTAATAGCTTCCGGTACTGAGCAATGAATGACCTATCAACACTCAGTGAAGTAAATGGAAAGACTCCCATTGACTTTGGGATTTGCATTGGGTCCTAGATGAGAAATTTTACTGACGATGGATGAACCAGAATAAAATCTATCCACTTTTTCCTTAGTTGTATTGGCTCTGCATTGCCAGCAAGCTGGGTTATTTGGGGTGCGATTTCTTTTTTGGGGGGTGGG